GGGGGATTTACTCACAGTCGTAAATTCCCACAGTGTGCACTATGTGCTTCGAATATTGTGAGTGTTTTTTGTTTTATACAGTTGTCAGCCAGGCATCTAACTATGAAAAAATTACAGTCCAAAAGACCCCGGGCTTCTGAAAAACAACCCGGGCTTAAGCCCAGTAAGAGTAATGATGTTGGACTATATGTCTGTTACGCAACTCAGCTCAGTCGGACCAGGATGGCCGAGTGGTGAAGGTGTTGGACTTAAAATCCAATGGACATTTGTCCATGTGGGTTCAAACCCCACTCCTGGTAGAGAAATCAACCTACTAAACTGACATCTAACAAGGTGTCAAAGGTCGGGGTGACGAGATGGGTTTTCACTGTCAGCGATAGTGCACACAACATAGCCTCATGCATATTCACCTGATAAAGGTATTGCACATAATCAAGTAGTATTGCCTTATTGTCCACATCTGTACTCATCAACCTGCAAAACGTACTACAGCCATGTATTAATTCTCTCCAACAACTGTGTCTCAATATCCTCTGCTATTTCCTCGATGCAACGAGTGACGGTGCTAGCCAACAGAGGCACCTGTGCTATCGTTTCAGCCGCCATCTCTCCGAAAAGTTCACAGCAAATGTCTTTAGTGGCAGGAAGGATCGATTCTTCACCAATAGTGAATGACTTTTTAGCCTTAGCAATACGGTTAGCCACCAAGTATGATGCTCTCAGTGCACTTGTATTTGTTGTTGTGGAGGCCCTCAGTAATGGCTTCTGTCCCTGTTGTTCCCGCTTTTTTCTTTTAGACTAGTCCAAAGGCTTGTTTTTTAATGTCGGGTGCTTGGTCTCCAAGTGACGAAGCAGTTTTGAAGGCTTCATTGCCTCATTGGAGAGCTGGTCTCCGCATATATTATGCAGAGCGAGCTTGGTGCATGGGAATCACTTGTTGCAATATATCCACTTGTTGTCTGTTAAATGCAGCTTTCTTTTTCTTAGTAGTTGTCATAGACTCTTCTTCTGTCTCCTCACTGGGCCTTTTTTCCTTTGCAAAAAAATCCTCCAAAGACATCTGTTTTTTACTAATTTTGCTAGTTTGTGGGTTTAATATTAACTAATGTATCTTGACATGTGTCAAGAGTCAGTCATAGACTGAAGTAACTGAGAGAATTCAGTCTTTTTCCAAATAAAACACTGTTCAGAGTCGGATAATAAATAAAACGGAAATAATGTAAGTTATTTATTTTTTCTGTGCGGTACGAGCTTCAACTCTCTTGACCCGGTACCAAACGACTCAAGGCCTGGTACCGGTCCGTGGCCCGGGGGTTGGGGACCACTGCTATAGACTATAGTGTACGCTCTACACCTACTTACTGGTTTTTGTTGCACCAGTCTGCATCTCCCAATTACTTTGTGTGTTTCGCTTACAGCTCCGCACCACCCAGGCGGCAAAAAATGTGCATGTTCTTTGTGATCTCGTAACCAATGCCCTCTGCCGTCAAAGTCGAGAATTAGTTAATGGGCATCATGTGACTAGTGGAAGCCAGATCCTTTTATTTAGCAAAATTGGGGTTAATAGTTAAATGTTATTGTTGAGGGGCACAGACAGCACATGTACACAGATTAAAAAATAGTAATGCTTCAAGAACAGGGCTCTTGGGACGTCCAAGAGGAAAGGGGCAAATGCTCAAGCCCCCTCTGTTATGGCAACGACGTTTAGACTTTTGTCTTTTGGACATTTAGAAAAGTCTTAGAAATGAATCGCATGCCAAAATGAAAACCAAAAAATTGGATGACATTAAAAACAAAAGAAACAAGAGACAGGGCGCTGAATAAGAACTTGTCAGCTTGTGAGTCTTGTAACTGGTGATGCTCCAAATGTTAAAAAATAAATATATAAAAACCAACAAACACCAAAAAGTGACATTTATTATATGCTTATTCTGTGATCAGATAAAAAATATTTTATTAGAAGCAAGCTGGATCTAAGAGATTATTTCTACACAGCATCCTACAGTCAGTACAATTAATATGTCGGTATTGGTGGGATGAATATAAAATTCCCTCATCAGAAGGAAATAATAGTTTTATGTTATTTCATGTAACGTGGGAAGAAATACAGGTTGATCACATGTTAAAAAATGTATATACTTATCGGTAAGACAGACTCAAATAAAAACGTATAATGAAGAAGACGTTTCCAGCGATGTTTAGTTAGAGCTGATGATAAATGTTGCTCTTTTGTTATCTCAGAAATGTATATTTGTGGGTACAGAAGTAGAGCGCATGGGGATTTTTCCTATAGTTGCATTATTGGATTCAAAGGTCATTTCATCACCACAATAGTGCACAGGTAACTTTCCTTCACATTTGACCACAACTATTCTGTTAGTGAGAAGTTTGCCTTTATACTGACATTTGGGTTTCCTGGCTCCATTGTTCTTCAGGTCACATCTAACAATGCGAAACTTTGCTACACTCTTTGTCGTGCCATTCGTCTGATCATATCTTCCTTGACCGTTACAAATGGCTTTGACCTGTTTGTAATCACTGAGGATGAATGTGTTAACATCCTTACATTTGTTTCGATCAGCATATATTTTCTTTTTTTTCATTTCTGTATCACATTTTTTCACGCTCATCTTGGCATCTACATGCTGTCGTCTAAACTTTTCAGAATTTGTTTCATTCAGT